AGGCCTCGCACTGTCTTTCCTTGCAATTTGTCAGGGAACAGATCCCTGTTCAGTGCACCTTCAACAACAAACCAAAAACCACAGATAACAACACATGATGAGGAGGAACACTGACGACAAACCACACAGAAGATGATGAAGTTATATGACAAGAATAATACTGTATTATGAATACAGGTGTACAAATCATGAAGCACCAACGCTCCACTTTAACGTGAGCATTTGAAAAACTCTCCTCCAGAGTGCTTTCAGAGCATCAGCTACACTAGACTTTCGTTCCAGTGGTTCCAACAAAGTTTCTCTTTCTTCCTTTCTCAAACAAAATGCTGCTGAAATAGAGGAAGACTAATCTGGGGAAAACAAAGTCAGCCTCTGTGATCACACACCTTAGGCTTACTCTGGCATTTTCACATCTCAGTGTACAATTGCTTTATTGTTTTCCCCTCCTCCACAGACTGAAAACATTGATCCACCACAGCACTAGTGAATACAGGGCAAAACAGGTACAAGCATAAGTTATATCATATTTATCCACCTTCCCCCAAAATCTTTAAAAAATAAATAATGCAGCATAATCAGAACAACAAGATTGACATTTTTTATTTGTACTTAGCACATACAGGACAGATCAAAACAAATATTAAAAGTAGCATTTGTAAACAAATATTTCACAAAAACTTATAAACTATCAAATTTGCTCTGAAAAAATTCATGGTTATAGCCATTTATAAATGTGTATTTATCAAAATCAAGTTAAAAACTACTTCATTTTAAAAACATCCCAAATGAAGATTCATTCATTCCAACAACTTCAGAGACCACATATATATATAAGGCCTAATTAAAACAAATGCACGAGTGAAGATGGCACTGTGATTTCCAGTTTAAACAAAACAAAACAAAAAAATCAGCAAGTGATCAAAATACCAGCCAATCCTATTCAAAGTCCTAGGTTTGTAAAATGTACATTCACCTTTGCAAACATTTAACTTTAAAAAAATATAGCTATTTCACTGCATCATCCTCATCTTGTAATGTACCAATTATGTGCTGTGTTTTGAATCTACTCAGAAAAAAGTTCTCAGTAGGTAGTTTTATGTGATTGTATAGTTCACTTCCATAATCATATTAAAAAGAAGACACCAGCAGCACCCTTTTAGCAAGGATTCATTTTTAACAGTCTTGCCTTTATAGCAGCAGGTATGGTTTTGGGGAATGCTATCAATGTAATCAGTAAGTCAAAAAAAAGAAATACACACACCCCATGAAATTTATTACAGTGTTCTTTCCCTACACTTGTTTTCAAAATTAGGTAAGTACCTCTATTTTTTCTGCAGAACACAAAAATTAAAAGGAAATGACATCTGAACCTATAATTACTTCAGTAGGCTCCCTTTGTTGGTGGCCCTCAAGCCATTTGGATCGCCAGTGTGAATTCTGGTTTTTTATCTCCCTCCAAATTCCTATTTGCATGTCAACTAAAATCAAGGTTTTCAAACTTCACCTATTAATTTGACTCAAAAGAAATAAGATAATAAAAATAACTAAGGCACAAATGGCTGATCTTCAACATCAGGCAGAGGGTCACAGATTTGGAAAACAGGGTAGAATGTAAATCCCCAGAAATATTTCTGGTCTCAGGGTACTGGAAATTCTTACCAGAATTCACAAAAGGTTTTTCAAGATTTTTTCTTCTTTTTTTTTTTCTTTTTTTAACAAAGATATGGAAAACACTTTTCCCAAGAATGTCCATGAACACTAAACAAGGATGGATGTACATACAAAGACACACACTTTATGCACAGTACACTTTAAACGTAGTGCAGACAGACAAGGACCATGGAATGCAATGATCATCTAAGATGGCAGGTGAAATGAAGATGGCTGTTTTTCAGAGGGTCGTCATGAGTTTATCTTGGTACACCATGCTTTGGACTCCTAAATTCTTCTGGTTCTGTTCCTGGATATACCGTAAATTGCTGTCCTCTCCACTTGTGGGGGGTTTCCAATATGGCCTGTCATCATGATAGGGTGGCCTGTACCATTTGCACAGTTATTGGTTAGTGAGAAATGGAAGTAAACATAAGAGTGCTACACAGTAACATGAGCTCATCCAGCAAGTGCTAAGCATGCGCATGGAATGACTGGCAGCATCAGTAAGGGAAGGAAATGGTAAGAGACCTATAGGTCCAACGTAGAACCCACTGAAGCAACTGGCAATCTTTTAGCTGATTTCAAAAGGCTTTCAATCAGAGCTCAGTCATTTAAAACCCTCTCTGTTTTCAATGTTATAGACAAGCATAGTACATCAATGCTCCTGAATCCCAGAGGGATGGCGGGGAGGGAAGAAGAGGCTATGGGAAAACTAAATAAGTACAAAAATCAAGTAAAGTAAAACATATCATGCAAAAGGGGAGTTCATGAAAGTACACCCTAAAGCCCAAAAAGTTGAGAGGCAATCCCATTATGAATGAAAATTGCTGTTCTGAAGTTATTGCCATTCCTTTGGCACTGGTGCAGTTTATTACACTGAAGTAGCCTGGAAGTTACACATGCCCATTTTCTTAAGATGAACACCTCCAGTCTACAGTTAGTACAGGTATTTCTCTCAAACTGTGTACTGAAACTTGCAAAAGGACTACAAGGAAAATATTTTTTCCTTATTTATTACTTACTGGTGTTTTGAGATACTAACTTCAACCTCTCCTACAGTGTCTCCTGAATCATTGCTGGAGAGTGGGGAATAAATAAACAAATGGAAATTTTGAACACTATGTAGAAAACCACGATATTTAAGATTCCCCTATCACAAAAATGATGTTGCAATTATACATACAGAAGAAATTCTTTTCTGTGAGAGTGGTGAGGCATTGAAACAGGTTGCCCAGAGAAGTTGTGGATGCCCCATCCCTGGAAGTATTCATGGCCAGGTCTGGTGGGGCTTTGGGCCACCTGGTCTAGTGAAAGGTGTCCCTGCCATGACAGGGGGTTTGAACTAGATGATCTGTAAGGTCCCTTCCAACTCAAACCATTCTACAGTTCTGGTAATTTTTTATAGTAGCAGAAACACAGGCAAGCTTTAGACTTGACCTTTTTTGGAGATATTCTTAACATATATAATGACGACTGTTAATGGGAATTAATTTTTTCAGAAAGCTAAACATTAAGCTAACTGCAAACAAATAATTTCACTGAAAGAATTTCACTAAGAAGATTGAGACAATTCCACATACTATTTCACAAATTATTCAACAAAACCCCCATATATAACACATATTGCACAGGTGGTTTCATTTCAGCTCCTGCCCATTTCTAGACTTTCATGCCCAGCAGAAAGAATTTTATACATCTGTAGTTTGCTCTCAAGTTCATGGTTGAATGGATTCATCTCTTCCAAATCAAACTATCCAAGATGTTAAATGTCCAATTTTTCACATCAACTCCAAGTTAGAGTAAGTTGAAACTTCCACTTTAACTACATATTTAAATGCTTCTACCTGACAGGGACAAAAATTCTGAGCACCTTTTTTACTGAGCTTGCATGACTGAGCTTTTAAATATATTTTCTTTTGTTTGTTTTTGTTTGGGTTTTTTTTAGCTTTACAAGCCTTGCTGTAAAAAAAGCCATTGTTCATATTTTACTGACCTTAGTCTTTGTCTAGGCAGTGGAGGGGCTGAAGGGGAAGGCTGTCTACACACAATACATTATTGTGTTATTTCAATATCACTCTGCTCCAGGGTGAACTATTTGGCATTAAAATGTCACAGACTAGTATCGTAAGTGATGACATCTTCAGAAAAATTTCAGCAAAACCTCAAATGATTTATAAAATCGTTAAACTCTCTTGGCAACCACTCTTCTGTAATGTGAAATTGTACATTTTAAATCATGCATAATAAAATGGACAAGTAAACCCTAAAATCAGGAAGACTTCTGAACCTGAAATATAGGCAAAGTTGATTACCCACTTCCTATGTGCTAGGAATTTTGAGATGACAATGCCTATGTCTGCTTCTCTGCCTAGCAAGTATTTCTAATAACACACTTGCGTTTTTCCTGCATTCTCAAACTCGGGCCAAATTGTCTTTTCATTCATTTTAAGCTCAGCCTCATCTCCAGAGCCTGCCCACACTAAAAACAAAGTCTACCTATTGTGGTGTAAGAATATAAATTTTAGATGAGTAGGAATGAAGATTAGGGTATTGGTATTTTTCAGTGAAGACAGTAATTATTTGTCTAAAAAACTGAGTCACCTAGAAGTGTTACTTTCTATTAGGATAAAATAGCAGCTGATTTTTATCATGTGTACATGCATAGACACATATCCATGCACCGGCAGGTGCGTGCCTCCACTGTGCATTCCACCAAGATGGTTTTAACTGGACTGAATTTCTTCCAAAATTTCTTTTCACTCAATATCTCTCATTACTAGCTACAAGATAAAGTATCATGAAAGGAGGATAACACAATAGCACATGCAGGAATATTTTTGTGAAACAGTTCTCAAAAACCCAATGTTATAATTTCACTAATTATCTGTAAAGTGCTTGATAAGTTGTTCCATGTATTTGTTATTTTCCCATATACATTTCTGCAAAACATGGTAACAGTGCTGCACTGCAAGAATCTGTTTACTCATAACTTAACTTTACACTAAAATGAGTTTCTTCTTTGTCTCAGGAAATTAAATACAAATAAATACTGATCCATTTGCAATTAGTTTTACTGAAGCTACTGAGCATCTTCCTATTTAATATACTCCCTACAGAAAATCACTGAAGTTGTACTTCAAATTCTGAATTAAAAACCAAACAGAAAAAAAAGGAGATTAGGATATTCCATAGCAAAACGTAAACAGAAGTTATTTAATACTGTCTCTTAATCCCATACTTCTAACTTCTGTTTGCTTTTCATGTGCTTTTCATGGCCACCAAAGCTCCATACTGATTAAGATAAAGAAAGAAGTAATCATCTCTTTTGCAAAGTGAGGATTGCTTACCTTACATTCACAGGTGTGTGTGGATGCCAGTGTGGCTGAGCAGGATGTATATTAGGATGATACTGTGGCTGCAAGTGAAAACATTGAACCTGGTTAATGAAATAATATAAAAACTCCCTATTAACTTTAACTTTTTCTTTTCCTGGAGCCATGAGGAACATGCTCCCAGTGAGCCCTAGAAACCCTACGCTTTCAGACCTTCTCCCACGTCATTAAGCACATACATAAAGCCTCTTGGTGATGAGCTTGCTTATTGGGACACACTCATGGAAAAACGCAAAGAAAATTGCTTTTCTTTTTGACAGACCACCTGGCACATCTACTGCTTCTCATAGAAAGCATATCAAAAAAATGCCAACTTTAATCAGAGGTGGAGAGTAGGAAAGGTTACTGTTATAATAGCAGTCTTTAGAAGGTCACCTATCTTTCGTGATGGCATTTCCCTCTCATATCCATAAGATCTCAAGGAGAAACAATGAAACAAAATCACTAGTGAAGGTTTTAATAAAATGTGTTAAGACTAAGTTCTCATGCACATACACAGCTTGGAAGAGAGCACAGCTTTCTTTCTCAGTACCACTGACTGCCAGTATCACAGATGAAAACCAGGCAAGGTTTTCCCTGAAGTGTATAAAAAAAAACCCCAACAAACATTTGACCAGCAATGAACTCCCTCTCTGTATGAGGAAGATAATTGCAACTTTGAAATTGTCACGGATCATCCAATGTGAGAGGCCGCTCTAGACGAAAGCTTGCTCACAGAGCAGTCTCCCGGGGCCCATCATATTCACAGTCCCAAAGGATTTAACCTTCACAGAAAGGGAAGGGAAAGAGGGTGGCAAATGGAGTGTACTCAGCTTCCAGAGCATCCAAGAACAGAGGGGAAGAAAGAGAGGAAGTCCCTCTGCTTTTCCCTTAACCTGAATGTGATGCTGTTTATTTCTGAACCACCTCAGAAAATCTCACCCCAGAGTAAGGAAAGGGGAGAAGAACAGATGTACTAAGTAAAAAGAGGAAAAATATTTACCACTAAATATGAAAATGACAATATTTTATTCTACAATTGTTATGCTCTTACCTGATAGTTATGGACTTCAGGAGTATTTTTAGCACTAAGGGAGAAAAAAATTAGCTTTTATGTAAACAGTACATCTATGTCACAATTTTTTATAGTTCAGGGTTCTACTCTTCAGGGAAGTATTACAGCGAAGCAGAATTCATATTCTTAAGGACATTAATATTTTATTCAGGATATACACCACAGCAGTTAGTATGTGAAAGAGGGGTGTGAAATTTTTTTCTTCACTTTACATTTTAAAAATGGGAAAAAATAATGCTTGATAAGCTAACACAATAGCAGTGAAAAAAAGGAAATATGTTTCATTTTAGTATGATCTCAAACATAAAAATTAAAAAAAAAAAAAAGATTAAATAATAGAAGCACGTAAAGTCTCACAAGCAGTCCCCAAGAAGAACCTGATGTTGCATAACGAGAGATGCCAAAGCAATACATCCCACACCAAAAAATTTGTTTCTACAAATCCTAATGCAGAAATTATCTTCAGAATCTTTTTAGCCCAACAACAGCAACTTAGAGGTAAAGAGAACTTGGGCAGTCACTTACCACAGTTGTGCTGCTTTCACAGGATTGTTTGCTTAAAAAGAAAGAAACATAAATCCTTAAGACAGGTGAAATATCAGCCATTTTGCAGCTCTTGTGATTGGAGTGTTACACTAGGCTTAAGTGAATCCTCATATTTGCATAAAAGTGTCTGAATTGCAAGTGCGGCCCTGTGCTTTCTAGCATTCCTGTGCAAGATCTTGAAGTATGAGGCAGACACAAACCTTCCTCTGGTCCTGCAAGAGTCAAAGCCTTTCAGAGATGACAGCAGACAAGCATATACTTCCCAAATGTCACAAAAGGACTTTTGGCAGAGTATGTTCTGCACGACCAGAAGACTACTTCTCTGACCTTACTGTAAGCTACCATGTCAGTACCACTGAGTCCCTTGGAAATCAGAAACTATCCCCTGTAGAAAGTGCCAATATCTTATAGAACCCAGAGTATTCACAAAGCTGCTAATGGTCTGTGTCTTATTACAAGGAAAAAAGGTAGCCAAAACAGCCCATCAGTTGGGAATCTGGGAAGGCACTGAGCAATCTTGAGCAACAAGGTCTTGGTTTATGCTTCAGATAGGCTGGAAAGAACCGCGAAGAAGGCAGCTGAGTAACTGGGACGTATCACCTCTTTTTCATGACAAACGGCATGATTTTCAAGAGCACTGAAAAACTGTCAGTGATATAGCTGAAAATCCAAGTGTTTGCTAAATGCAGAAAGTGGGTGACAAAGTTAATGAGACGCTGCAGAAGTCTCAAAATACAGAGCTAGAACAGAGTCCAATCCTTGTGGGCTGCAGCTAGATACAGGTCTTAACGGCCAAGAGATGCAGGAGAGACAATAATCTAGAGGGAATTTTTGCATTAACTTAACAAACATGCTGTTGAGCTCTCTGAAAGCAGATCATCTGGGTATGACAGAAGTTCTCACTGGCTGCAATGCGCAGAGAATGTAATTGAGCATAAGCCACACTCTCTCTCTTCTCCTTCTATCTCACAGACATAAGTACGGAAGCACTGAGACACAAGGTATGACCTGCAGGTCTGACAGATCCTGTTACTGTAAGAATAAAATTAAAAGAATCCATTCTTTCACTTATGACATCACGCACATGATATAGTTGACTCTCCTGTATCGCATAACAGCATTTCACAAATTTAAAAAATTTGCACTTCCATTAAAAAAACTCCTTACATGTACTAAGGAAGGAAGCAGGGAGGGAGTTAACAGCCTCTAGAAAGCATGCATGCTTGTAGCCCTTTTCACCCCACTGTCCATGAGAAACACACGTCCCCATAATACCACAAGGATTATTCATGGAACTGTGGTTCATATTCTGGGAATGCAAAGGAGTGCAAAAACATTCTAAGGAAACATCAGCTCACCCTGCTCCATACAGCAACTACACCTTCAGGCTCAAGTAATAAAGAATTTAGAGGGGATTGTCTTGAAGTGCTCCTTCCTAGGTTTTTCTACAAGGAACAAAAATCTCAGTTTAAGTTTCTAAGGACAAATTACAAAACCACAAGGGAAATCAATTCCTTGTCATTCCATTCAAATTTAGCATATCTCAGCATAACTCCCAGGGCAAGGTAGTTAAGGTCAGAGTCTGGATAGGTGAATAATATGTGATTACAGTCAGGAAAGCTGCAACAACTGCATAATGAGACTGCTCGATAGCCCTAAAATTGCCTGGCTAGATAAGCGAGTCAGTGAGGCTTTTGGACACTGCTCCACTCTCCATGACACATGCAGTTCTGCTAAGAAAACGTTACATGCTATCCCTTATTGGGTTTGCTGCAACTTTTCTCCTCAATGGAGCAACAAAAGAAACCATAGGTACCCTCCTCCTTAGATGGGGGTGGAAGAACTAAGTGCAGGTAGAGATTAAAACCAGAAGATGGAAATGACTCCAACTTTGGACAAAAAAAAAAAAAAAGACCCATGTACCTTCTGATGTTTTACGCAATCTGACATCTTTTTCTTTTTATACTGCGGTATAGATGTCATGACAGTAATATGACATTTCTATGAGTTAACGGGACACCCGCATGATTGCTGCAGTGAACATACGTAAAAACACTTACTCTTAAAGGTTGAATGCCTTCGAGAAGGATATCGCTTGCTGGGCCTTCTTTCAAATGTGCTAGTTCTGCGTAATCTTGTCCCATGTGTTGCTTGATATTCTGTCCGCCCACTTAAAATACAGAAATAAACAAATTAAACTACTGCCTTCTGCTGGATGCAGTATTTGCTCCTTCTATAGACATAAATATTGCTGTTACTTCTCTAAATACCTGAATCTGAAGCGTGATCCCAGCCTTATGAAGTCGGATCTACTAGATTTACTATTTGCTGGGGCTCGCAATCTGAAGAAAGCATGGTGCTCCACTGCACACTTCCACAAATGTTTGCACGTTTTGGCACTGTCTAACCGGAAAACAAATGTGTGCTCTTGCTCTCTGCCCTAAATGCAGAAACAAAAGCTTTGGAAGTTGGCATGCATGATATCAGTTATTGTCTTTGGTAGGAGAAATACAGCCTGGGCCAACAGTGTGCTGAACCTCCCTTGTGTTCTTACCAGCCTGAGCACACACCACACTTTGTTGGATCAGGCCCAAGTAAGGAAAAAAGTTACCTGTTCATCATCTTCTACAACCACAAGTGTTAGTTTGCTCTTTTTAAAGTCCATTTTTGTGATTTTAGGCCTAAACACAAGAAGTAAAAAGAATAAAATTAAAAGAATATTAAAAGAATTTTATTTCAACAACTATTTCACATTTGAGAGTGGTACTTCTAACCAGGCCAATCTATCTTCAGATTTGACCTTCAGATTTTAAACCTTGCAGATTCAACCTAAATTACAAAATACAGTCAAGATCTCATTATGTAAAAGGAGAAAGATTTCAGCATTTTAACAGAAAGGAATATAACACAAAAACAGATTACCAAAAAAATAAGCCTATTTTGTTGGCTCCTTCAAAGATCAATATGCCTGTTGGTGTCAGTCCAAGAGCATATTCGCAACCATCTCTTCCCTGCAAGCGAGTACAGAATAAATAGTCAATATGCCATTAGCAGTGTAAATCTCATACAGTAGTATCACAAAATCCATAGGTCTTAAACTAAACAGTAGGGTTTGCATATTTTTTTAACATTACTGAGCAGAAGAATATGCATCTGTACTGGGTGCAAACCGGCAACAGGAGGCTGTAGGGTGCCCTGTGTGGGAGGAGGCCATGTGCTGCCCCAATTAGCTCTGAGGCCCATGGAGACGGACCCACACCAACACTGAAGCCAGGGGAGCCCACATCTCAGCTCCCCCGTGTTTAAGAGCAGGCAGTACCTGCCAGGGGAAGGAGACACAACGGGAAGAAACTGAGGGTCGTAGGAAAAGGCATGTGGAAAGGGACACTGCGGGGGCATGGCTGGAGAAGCACCCTCGGGAGGAGCGTTGCAGGTGGGAAGTACTTCTGAGGGACCACAGGCAACCCACACCATAACAAGAACACCCTTCAGGCACTGACCCACACCAGGGCGGGGACCTCATGCTGATAAAATAAAATATCACATGGATCTTACCTTAACTACATGCATATCTACACCATACATTTCTAGCCATTTAGCTTTGTTCAAGTAGCACAATTCAGCCTGCGCCGGGCTCTTTCCCCTATGAGCATAAAATTTATACTTCATGGTAAAAAATTTGTGTCCACTGTAAATGCTTTAAAATTCTCTCCCCCTAACACTTTTCTTTGGGCCCTTAATCTTAATGACACTAAATGGTATTTCAAGCTTAGCTTATGTTTTTACCCTCTTCCCTCCAAATGAAAATAAATCAGAGGGATGAAAACAGAAAAAGGTCTCAAATTGCCAATAAGGATGAAAGTTCAGGTAACACAGCATCACTGAAATGCACCATATTTATTAACAAAAGACAAGAAAACAAGTTTGCTACCACTCTGAACACAAAACTTTATGTTTGCATAAAGAAGGAGAGAGAGAGGAGATTTATTTCCAACATAAAGAAAAGAAAAAAGATCTAACTCCTTAAATTATTACAAAATAATCTAAAGAAAAACTAATAAAAAAAAGAAAACTCACCCCTCCAACCTTCTCTAAATTACTGCTTGCCATTTCTAGAGAAGGAGAAGGCTCAATACTTCTCAACTGACAAACATAATCATCATTTCATGTCTGTTGAAGGGATTTGACTTTGGAAGAGAAGAAAACTTGTTGCTAGAGACCCCACTCCCACACAGGTACTCTACCTGCACTCCTTCCATTTCTGAAAAATGTCAAATTCCATCGCTTCAGTCTGGTTTGGTGCAAACCTGAATTCAGACACAAGCTCTGGTGTGTGCTCAGGGTGCTCACACTCTCCCAGCTCAGCTGAAATCAATCAATTGAGAAGTTAAAAATTTAAAGATTTTGGGATGACCAGAAACATTTAATTCCATTATTTCTACAAAGACAAGGATAGTAAGTTTTTAAGTATGTTGTAGAAGAATGTACTTGTGCCAACATTTTAAGTTAACACCCCATTCTCTCACTCCCAGCCCCAGTAAATTCAAACCAGATTTTACAGCAGAAGACGATAAATGCATTTGCAGGAGCAGTGTTAAGGTTATAGTACAGAATTCTGACATTCAAGAATGTTATAACTGAACCAGCTTAACTGGAGCTGCTTCTGTGGATTTTAAAGCACTTAAAGGAAATAAAGTTTCTATTAAAAACAATCACCAAGGTAAAACTGTTACTTCCTCTCATTGCATACTTTTCATTCCAAAACACTTCCCATTTTGTTGCATGCTTTGTCATGTTACTGTTCGTGTCAAAACATGAAAGGAATACCTAGTCTCGTGAAAGCAGTGATAAAGTTGTGCAGTTTTTTTTAAACCACAGCGGTTGTGTAATATTTAGATTAAGTAATTTTTAAGGAAAGAAATGCTGCAACATTAACATAATTGAGGTGTTGCTTTCTACCTATATGCTTAGGCCCTGGTATTTTCTTTTCTAGGAGCAGAACACTTGCCAACTCCACTGAGCTCAGCAGGAGATTTAAGTGCTGAGCATTTCAGTGATTGAATTAACCTGTCTTGTGCCTGTGACATGCTTTGCTCATGGAGCCTCTCAGCCATACAAAGAGGCTGCAGCATCACTGCCTTGGGGCTGTGTGGCAAACATCAGTGGAGAACACACTGTTCAGTAATATCACATGTCACCTGACATACGATGTGATTCCCAGCCAGACCTTTGTTGGTGTTTCTTAACTGTTTACTACTATTACTACCAAACAGTAGCGGTATTTTGGTGGTAGTAGTTGTAGCAGTATTTTAGTATTACTACCAAAGTAAAAACTAAAATAAGGCAGATGGAAACTAAATCCCCTGAACAAAGCAGTTTTATTGCTTTAGGGCACTTTTACACTTAACAGTTGCAAAAATTTAATTCATACTCAGACTTCAAAAATGCCTAGCAGGATCCAGTAGCCTATAGGAAGTTACACACAAAATGCAATCTGTTGGCTGATACCACCTACTAGGCAGTTTTGAGAACTTGAGCTTTGCTCAAACATTTAGCAGTCCTCAGGATATTAAACAAATTGAGTTCATTGATCTTCATTTCTAATTACTGCCTCACACACATTTTTTTCTCTAAACAGTCATCTTCCATGATGACAGCATTCTTATTTATAAGACTTTTTCTTTAACAGATATTTCAGCTCTATGGCTGTTTCATCAAAGCTGGAAGCCTATTTAACACAGATATTGCTAAGAATTACTGGCAGTCCAGTCTCCAGTGTACAAAAGAGACCCACAGAAAACCCATTAGAAAGGAAGACTTCAAGGGGAAAAAAAAAAGTAAGACCGAAGTTTGATGTGTTGACAATCATCTAGGAAAAACATGGGAGATTTCTCTACTAGTTAACTAAGAGAGAAAGTGGGGAATGAAGGCTGACTGTGCTGTAAAGAGGACATGTAGAGAAGAATCACGAGCTTGTAGGACAAAAGATACACAGAAAAGATAAGGCAGCAGTATTAGATAAAAGAAAAATATCGCCCTTGTTTCTTAATAGCTGCATTCACTGTTTATTCATTTTCAGGTGAACAAACTATGTAATCTTTTTGATCTCTAACAAGTAGATCTTCAGAGTAAGTCAGAGTTTCACTAGCTCCCCGCGCAGGGTAGGAGGGCAGCGGGAGAAGGGGTAGTCGTGGGCTCTATATGAGGATGCTGTCGCTACTCTGGTGGAATTACATTCCTTGAATGGCTCAGTAACACTAATATTTTTCAACACAAGGGAACAGCAGAAGACCCATCTTTTCATCTGTGGTTTTATGACAAAGTATCATGCTTTGGCATACCTCTTCTCTTTTTTGTGTGGTGGAGTATTTCTGGTTAAACACTAAAGCTACCCAGCAGCAATGAGGCAGTTAAAAACTTACTGTAACAGTGACAATTCAAGTTTGATGACAACCTTTCTGCAGACAATGCCTAAGTGAAGCATATGATTATGTATCTGCTTCACAAGTTACCTCATACTGCAAATCAACATTATTTGCTACAGAATTTCTTTCACGGGACTGGAAACAACCCAACACTTTACGTTTGAAAGATGATTCATACATAACACCAACCTTGGAAACTGCTATTTGAAACAAAGAATTACTGTAACAGAACAACTTAATTGATTATTAAAAAAAAAAGTATGTAGTTGAAAGCTGACCCGTGAAGAGAAAAGGTTTTTCTTTCAGAGGGCTTAGGGTACTAATGCCTAAATAGCCATTTACAGCTTTCTCTTTGCTCTTAGGAAAACCACACTAAGAAGCAAGACTGGATTTTACAGAGTAAATGTAACCTGCTGAGGAGGGACTAATTGGCCTTCCTTTGTACTCTTCTGCTTGATTAAGTTTCCAGTGTCAATAAAATGTAGCAAACTTTACACCAAAAATGTTAATTATTGCATACGTCAGCAGAGATAATGAATTAGTTGAAATAATTTTGGATAAACATATTGTGATGATGTCAAAATAGTCGAAAACTGAAACTGAAAAAAAGGCAGCAAAAAAGTAGAAAAGTGTTTTCCCACAGACAGTGTCAAGGAGTATTAGTTTTGGTACCTAGCTGGAGACATCATAAACATGATGGACAGCTATCATGATATGTTTACACAGCAAACACAAGTGACAGTTACCACCCAAACTGTTGAGGCGTCAACCTATTATTGTTTGCCTGATTCTCCTTGCTTAGACCAGGGGTGAGGTTACCAGTGTTTCCATTTGAGAAAATGGAAGCAACAAATCAAATACGGGCTCCATATTTCCTCCATCTCAAAAAGACAAATGGAGTTTGCCTGCAGCAGTTCTTTGCACACATAACAGTCACAGCTGTGCCAGACCGGTGCAGCAAAATAACTCACTACCTTAATATTTACACCCGTTGCTGTTCGGAACTGAATTCCCAGTTTTGCCTGTCAAGTCCATCTAGAATCACTGAGTTATCCCCACTGCTATATTAAACTAAGAGACTCTGCCTAAACACTCCTTATGTCATGGATGTCATGGCCCAACCACCAGAGAAACAGGAAGAAAATTTTTCATCTCAATTCATGTTGCTGCTAATATGCTTAGAATGGTCCAACTCACTGCACTTTTTTTTTTAAAAAAATCAACTTGATTCGAGCTTTATTACACTAGTTTCCTTCCTATTTGCAAAACAAACTGCCTGAACAGAAATAAATATTTGTATTAACATGTTTGCAACAACTAAAAAAATACATTTTCCTACAATAAACTAATGAAACCCAGTGTCCTAGAATTTTTATGAAATCTTGTAACCCTTGCTCCTGACACAGAAGTAATCTTAGTTTTTACCTTTCCATATAATTCTCTCCTCTCCAGTACCTGCCAGCTCCTGTTTCCTGCCCTGTAACCATCTCCTGTGCTACACACTCTGCAGGTTTCCTCTCCCAAGCACTGTCCAGGCAGCAGGAAGCCCAAGTTCACAGGGACCCACCTGCCACAAAGTGTATGCTGAAGGGCCAGCTGGCTTTTCAGGCTGAAGGGATAACACTGTGCACACATCACACCTTCTCCCTCAGTGGGGAACTATTGGGGTCCTTCTTTCCTGGTCAGCCCTTGGTTTCCACAAACATTTGTCTAGCCATGCCTTAGAGGCTCCTTCCCCTTAGCAAGTGTGCTGATGTTGGCTAATGTAGTTCAGAAGTTATGAATGGAGGCAAGTCAAGAAAATAATCTCCCTAAAATTCTTCTCCTTGGGAAAAAGAAGGACATTTATGCACTATCAGTGAGAAAGCATTGATAACAAAGAAAAAGAAACCAGAAGGTGAGTTTTTTAATATATTAAGACAAACCACTTCCAGAAGATTGCATACCTTGAAGACACAGAGCTGCTAGTTCAACAGCAGTTTCATACGGGCATTTCAGTCTTAAAAACAAAAAAACCCAAACTGTAAAAATCATGTCTCTTGTCAGTAAATTCCTCTTGCAATAAAGCTAAAAAGTAGCCTGATACAAGAAATGGAAATATTAACTTCCACAAACTACTAATGATATGAAACATCTACAATTAATTTTAACTTGTGTATGATTATATCCTAAGTTGGTACTTCTGATTTCCATTAAACATGATACACTTCACCATAAAACAAGTTTCAACTAATAGAGACAGTATTAAATTGACTAAAGAACCATTTTTTGCTTCAACCCTGTATTTTAGAACATACGGTTTTGAGATTTTTTTTCTATAATTAAAAAAAAATAGAACACGTGCATTTATTGGTCAGGGTAAGACTATAAACACACAAAATATTTTTGCAGAGTTGACCTCAATAGGAAGTGTTGCACTTCAACTTCTTCCTCTTCTCTTTTACCTACCATACTAAAAAAATATGGCAAACCTAGGTCACATTTTCAAGTCATAAAAATCAAGACAATCTTGCTCTCTTTATACATTTCCATCACCTGCTCAATCCATTAAAATTTTTATCCATTCTATTTGTCAATAATATTGTCATGATACACACTAAGTCCTTTATGTCTGAATTCTAAAGAAAAACAAAATGCACGTGGAACTGTAAATCATGTTCATAATCTGTGCACTAATACCATGACGAAATAAAAAGATCACAGAATTAAAGTAAAATTTTAAATCTTAAGAACTATTCTAAATGCTTTAAATTACAGCTGCAAGAGTAAAAAGGTACTTACTTCCCTGAAAGAATGTCTTGCCGGAGCTGTAATACAAACAGGTACCTGACAAATAAAAATTCAGAAAGTCAAAAGTATTTATAATGGCAACCTTCTAGCTCCACTCACTGGAAAAATATCCCAATTCAGTAATCACAACATTTTCATTAACGTGCTCTTGAAAAATAGGGTCTTTGGGATTACTCAGATATACCATGCAACCTTCAAAGATCCCACAGCTTTCACTAAAATCAAAGAGAAGAACATTTTTCACTGACTGGCAGTGTTCAGAACATTGTCCGAAGCCTTGCTGTTTAGGGATGTACTCTATCTGAGCACACACCACAGCAACCCAAATGTTACTGACACTGGAGTCTTACCCAATTCAAGCGAGAATTGAACTACAGGATCTAGAAACAAAATGCAGATAAAGGAATGTAGGCTTCAGGGCTGCCTTCTCAAACGTAAATACAGAACATGGAAGAAGTCCAAACTAGGCAAAAGGAAAAGTTCAGAATGAGATGTCACTTAAAACAGCAGAAAAGTTCTGGATACAAAAAACCTGAATTCCATAGAGCCCACACATTTATTTAGTAGGCCAAGTAGGAATTTACAGCCTTCAAACTGTTCGTAGTATTTTAAGCTGTGGCTAATCTTCAGTCCTCGGCATGCTTCATGTTTCATCGCCACTCAGAGCTGGGCTTTGCTGAGGCATGCACAAGTGCCCTAGGTCATGCAAGGAACAGGAAGTCACAGGCAGGCTCAGCACTGCTCTGGACACTGTGGGGTGAGCCTTGCAAAGGTGAGTAACTCAAGCGAAGAAAGCATGAAGCACTACTGAGAGCCAGCCCAGTAAACAGGAACATAAACCTCTCCTATCTTGACAAAGGATGCTGGAAAGACAAAGTGTTTTTCATCACAGAGGACGTGCAGTGAATGTGGTGAAGGATGAATATTCAGAACAGACAGGGAAACAGAAATTAAAAGGAAGATCAAGATTTCTCATGATACACTACAGCAGAATCAGATTTATCCACGCTAGATCTGTTTCACATCTGATTCACATACTTGGCTAATACCCTACTTGCCAATCAAACCTGGATGTTTGCACGCACGGCTTAATGGTAGACACGTATACTTCCTGTTCTCATTGATGTCCCAAATGATTCACAATTCCATGAACTCTTCTGAATTTGCAAGAAAAATCTGGGCAGTGCTTCTATCAGTGTCAGCTGGCCTGTGCAGTGCTGCAGCACTGTTCTGGTTGGTATGACTTACTCTTGCTCCTTTTCTGCGTGCAGGTTGACAAACATCAGCATCTCAATTGTTGCTACTCCAAATCAGCAAAGTACCTTAGAAAATTCTCCACAACACCCAGGTTGTGGAGACATGTTCCTCTCTTGTTTTTCTAACTAAACTAACTAATCAGGTCACACAAAAGGGACAGAAGATGTCTTCCAAAATACACTGGATTTCAACTGTGTTTTTAAACTGAAAAAAGACAGAATGGGTGACAGGTTTCAACACTTAGCATTACTGTGCTAATTATGAGAACGTGCTGTTATAGTTGCACTAGAAATTGAAGTCTACTAGAAAGCAGATCTCCAGAAGGAATTTCAAATGCCCCCCTCCCCCACCAGGTAAGTTCATAGTTACTGTTAACGATGATTTTTCTTCCACCTCTTACTCCCATTCCATTTCCACTTGGAATAATTTTGAGTACAGAATTATTAATCTTCACCTTTGACTCAACATGCTACATGGAAAACATGAAACTCCCCTTCCCCCTTAAAATTAAAAGAATTAAAAATTCAAGAGTTAAAAAAAGTCTTAAATTCAAAATTACTCTCCCCCCCCCAAAAAAAACCCCAAAAAGCACCTATTCGTTCACTGTAAAATCAATTTCCAGCCTATTTTAATTTTTCTTATATAGTTTCACAGTGGTCTTCTGTCAAGCTTGTAATTAAAAAAATTGTTCACTACACTGAATATTTAGCTGACTAAAGTGTTTTTCTAATTAAAATAATCTTCTGAAATGTCACCTTTCAGCAATAATTAGATCACAAAGCATCAGAGGTTAATACTTTCAGACAAAATGTCTTACTCGATCACAGCAATGATCACATAGCTCAGAAACCCAATCTCACAGTGACTAGGATCATATGCTTCAGAGGACTGAGCAAGAAATCTTGTGGCAGACAGTAATGGAATAATTTGATCACAGGGAAAATGTAATACTTGTCAGACATGCACTCAGATGTACGAAGACTTACGCCAATTTCCAGAAAACATATATTATTCCTACTAATTTAACTGCATTTTCTCATTAGAGATGTCCAAAAATTATCTGGGTTTTTTGATTCTCTTAAGATCCTATACTCAGTTACATACGTGGCAGGGACTTCTGTAAGTTAATTATACATTGTATAAGAATATGCCCTTCTGGTGAATTAACACTGCTGCATTAAATTTATAATGGATATAAAGACTCTATGTCTATATCATAAGGTGGTGACAATTAGCTCTTTAATCTTGTCTCAGGCAGTGAAAAAAAACATGGTCAACACAGCAGATAGCAAAGGCAACAGTAGTCACACGCCTCCAGGCGCAAGTTTAATGTAAACATCTCACGCACATGAACTACAACAATCAACCATCTTTAAACACCTTGGGCTGATTGGGAGTACACTGATTATTGCCAAGCAAATTAGAAGACATGGAAAGTGCCCTACGGTGATAAACAGAACAAAAGAAAAGATAACATTAAGATAGATGACTACTATACAAAGAAGACACAAGGTAAGCAGACACAATAGATAAGTAAACCCTTTCCTCCAGCTGCTCCTTTCCCAATTTTCAGAATATCCTGTAAATCACACCAGGTGCTACAAACCCAGCAAGGTATAGGCCTCCAGAAAACAGCCCACCAGACTGAAAGACTTTCAGATAATCTTAAAGTGACTTTAGACAATGCAGGCTTTATGCCTTTTGCTCCAGAGAATCATGGGGAAGCAGAAGCGATTCAATCAACTGGTAACCAAGAACTCAAGCTGTCTACTCCCACAATTCTGTGGCCTTTGTACGATTATTAAACCACCCCCACGTTTCAGAGCAAGAGGGACAAAGCAGGGCACTGGCATTTTCGCAGGACATAATGGAAAAAGGTATTAAGAGCAGCTGTCTCCCAGCTGTGGCTCCCCCTACCCAACGCTGCCTTTCTTTGCCAACTTCAAGCATCAAAACACAGCATCTCATAGACATTAAAACTCTCAGAGAGGCCTGTGAATGCTTTCTGGCACCAAATAAAAAAGATTACATTTCTCTGACAGTAGGAAAACACCTAAGAAGGCAGATAAAAGGACCACTCTTAGTAAGAAAGTTCAGATCACCTGCTTACAGTACCCCTATGTACTTCAGATGTCTTATTTACCCCTCTGCCAGTCACCCAGTTAACCACACACAGTTCCTACCTTGTAAACTCTTCATGAAGGTTGTTCGGTTCTGATGAATAGTACTTAATACGAAAATGCAACGTGTACGGAGGTCCAACTGTACATGCAAAGATTTAAATGCGGAAAAAAGGTTTATACTAGTTGCAGTTCTGATAAGGCAGAAGAACCAAGAACCACCCAAAAAACCCCAAACTAATTACATTTTTCAAATTCTTCGAAGAAGGAATATTCAATATTTTTAAATTTAAAAATGCATGCAATAAAAAAATTAGACAATTAACATACTCCATGATATTCAATAATTCAAACTGATCAAGCAATAGTCCATTTGGCAAACACATTTTTGTCCAAAGAGGTGTGCCCCACAACATGCTGTTAACGACAGCAAGTTCCAGGTACACTGCCTATTGCTGGGCCCAGAGGGAGATGGAAGGAAGAGGGAAGGAGAGGGTGATGCTCCTTGTAACCAGACACAAACACCACTCAAAAAAAAACAAACCCTACCAGTAGACCATCTTTGATTTAAACACATGAATGAGAAAAGGTAAGATAAATAAGGTGAAAAGTGCTGGATAGAACTCTGGAAGGTACCCATGAACACATGAAAGCTAGCAAATTCCATGAAGTGGAGTTGCAAAAGTTGTGTTTTCTAATGTGAGAAGGAGAATGCTACATCTGACTTTCTATGTAACACAGATAACGAAAAGTTACCCAGCTACCATGAGACTCTGACCAATGCACTCTTATCTGCCTTAGCCTCATCTTCCAAACTAACTGCCTGCTGATATATTAATTGCTGGAAAAAATGAGTTTTCCACACTTTTCTAAGGCCTTCACATCAACACAGTGTACATGTGCCTATTAATGATCCTTCTACTAAATGACATACAGCTAAAATTCAAATAATAAGAGCTTTGATTCTGTCTCCAAAGATACCTCCTAGAAGACAGGTTATAGTACCCCAGGCTCACAGTTAGACACCACTAGTAAGGCCTGCATAGGCAAGATAATGACTTGGAAAAAAGAGCAGTGAGCAACACCCATCATGAAAGAGGAACTCTTCATAAAGCATCTGCTAAATGCAAGGAAAGAAAAGTATCCTGTTGTGAGACAGATCTGTACAACACCCAACAAACTGCTTCCCTCTTAGGTGCTCCTCAGATCCGTGATTGGCCAATTTATTTTTTAAAAAGGCCCTTCACAGATGAAACAGACAAAATCAAGCAACTAAACTGGTTGAAGGTGTTGTAGAATCACTGATTTTCCACAAGAAAAGGACAAAGCTATCACAGAAAGCATAGCTGCAAGTCATTTAGTCACTTAAGGTAAAGCAGTCTGGAATGTGATGAAAAAGTGAGAGAAAACCAACCACCAAAACTCTACCCATAGCAGCTATCTTTACCTTGTATTCTAGCAGGCTGACACCTACACACCATGAGGTGACAGCCAACCATCCTAAAGGCCTTTGAAGAACTCCACCATTTACAAAAATCATCTTGATATTTGGATATTTATAAAAAAAGAAAGACAAAGCACCATTGAAGCAATAATCAAGATCCATCTCTGTGAGCTCCTGCAAGGGGGTCAACACTTTCCTTGAAAAACAATGTATTTTAATGTCACAGAAGCAATGTTTTCAGTTGGCCAACTGCAGGAGAGTAACAAAACCCATTAATGCCAATGCTGTACTCTACTCAAGCTTGCAACCAGCTTGTCAGGGATCCAGGAACTGCTTCCCTGACTTAGCCAATTTCCACAGAAAACTCAGGGGCCAAAGTGAACCCTTCCATCCAAAACTACCTTTGATGAAACAGCAGCTATTTCAAAATTACATTTCACAAAACAGCAGGTATTTCTGCTAGTTTTATTTCTAATATACAACAAAAATAAAATAAAATTTAACCATATTAGTCAGTACACAATGAAATATTTTCCACTCTCTGAAAAAAAAAAAACAAAAAACACCAGGAAATCTGTTCTGGATCAGAAGCAGTGACAGGAACTGCAATCTGTGACCAGGCAACCTGATTTCACAGATCAGACTGAAATTACCTGGCAACCTCCTCTGCCTCAGACAAACAGTATGTGTTTAACAAGGGCTACTGCTTAATAAGTGTTCTTGCACTTAGATATAAGATAGTCAGCCAATTACCCATGAAACAAAAATTATTTCCTAAGAAATATTTATTCCATTAAAGGGCACATTTAAACATTCACAATCATGTTCAAATACTCTAAGTTCAAATTCTTTAGGAAGTAACAAAATAAACAGGCAGAGACATAGTACTTACTTTTTATTTGCTTCTTAATGAATTTTGAATGATCCAACCAGTGCTAAAAAAAAGAAAATTCACATTTAAAAGCAGTTCCATTTCAAGATTTTGTTGATTCAAACTAATTACAATAAAATTTATCAGATAAAAATCTCTTAAAAGGAAATACTGCCATATTTATTTTCTAAATTTCTGCACATTTGTGAAAGTGTTTTTTGGCACATTTAGCAACTTTTCTTCTTCCACATGGGAAAGCTTGATTTTTAAATTCATCTGTACTGCCAGGGAAGTCACTCTTCCAGAGAGGAACCCTCAAAATCCAAAGCCACAAAGCAGTAGTGTGTAAGGAAAACACCCTTTTGTCCCCAGGTTTAACTGTTCCCCAAGTGCTCCTGAGGGCAGCAGGCCAAACCCCCAAGTTTCAGCCTCCTTTCAACCCCATCGGATGGAGACCCTCCAGATCCTGTACGATTCTGCCTTCCATTGCTTCATAGCCAAGTATTTTCAAGATAAGGATAAAGACTTAACCCTCTCTAAAAGCATTTGGGAAACACTGAAGCACACCTCTCCCCCCTTCCTCCCCATTTTTAAACTAATGGCAAATGATCTTGAACAGACACAACAATGATGACAAAAACATGTGCTTCCCAGCAAAGTTTATGCACTCTTTTGTCAGTGCAAGTTGCATCTACAGAAGAGTAGCAATAAACACTTTCTGATGTAAATTTAGCTTAAATCTTTGACTGCTTCTGCACAATGTCCTATGTAAGGCTGCAATCTGATTGGAAGCAACTCAATGTAAATGCTTCTGCTACATAAGGTGATAAAAGAATTTTGGATTTCCTTGAAATAAACATTGCTCTATCTTTATATATATATATATATATAAATTATAAACTAGGTACTATGAAACAAAATCTCAGGAAAAAACAACACTTCCTTCTGAAAGCACTCATGCTTTCAGAAAAAGGATAATCTCTGAATGACTATTTATCATTCTACTAACACCATGCTACTATGGTTAAATAAATGTAAAAAATTATTTGTTGGATAGTAATGCTGGTATTTATTTACGAAGTATGTCCTAAACCAAGGCAAAAATTTATTTATCACAGGTATAGATATGTGTAGATGAAAAGTCTGACAACGTACGCCCCTTAAGGTAAATAAATTTCACAAAAGAGAAAGAAAGAGAAAGAGAAATGGAACAATTATTCTGAAGGTTGTTTTATTTGCACGAGACTTGCAGGACTCCCTTAGGTGAGGCTGCCAAGGAATCCATCCTTACAATCTGAGAAATCTCCACCAAAATGGAAATAAAACAATACAGCAGGTCATACAAATACATTCCTTAGAGTTGCAAGTAATTTACTCTGTCTCTACTTTACTCTCTTATGAAAAATTACAGCTTTGTGAAATCACATTTTTGATAAGGAAAAATATCAACATCGAAACTTTGCTTTTATTTTTTACTGAAATTATACAAGTCTATTACTTTCACACCTCCAGGCAGATTAATTTTTTATTCTTTAAATACCTAGCTACAAAAATGTCTTTCTGCTCAGTATTTATTTATGCTAAAGATAAACCACTCAAAGGCAAATATACTGATTTCATTACAAGAAAAGTTTAGCTTCATGTTAAATAAAACCAAACATAAATAACATCTAAAATACAGCCCAAAAATCCTCCAGTAACATTTCACCTCTGACTCCTGTTAGCACTGTGTTCTGGAACAAGAACAGCACAACCTGAACCACAATAATTTCCAATGAAATAACAGCTCATAGTCCCTTTCTTGGAATGTGGTGTTCTAGGTGTATTAAAACTCAAATAAGAGCAAGTTTCAAAGTGATTATTTGCAACTGTAAATACTTCAAACAGGGTTTAAAAATAACTAACAAGACTCCAGGAACTACTTGCGCAGACCGTTAAATGAGACTACAGCCTGGACAGGAAGCTATCCTCACTCTCTGTAGCCAAGCAGCCAGGGGCAGACAGCTACAGGAGATAAAACACAGCAAGCATTAAACTCACCTCTCTTCAGAAACAAGAGTGAGCTGCTGTTTTACCCCATCCCACACTGCATGTCATGGCTGTGTGTGATGCACCACCACACAGATCACAAAATACAAACAGAGGTAGGGCATGGACTGGCAGCATTATTGGCACAGAGTTCCTAGACCTGGCAGTTTTCATGCAGATTTGTGAACCAACACTAATTTCAAAATCAGATATTTTGTGCAATTTCTCTGAAAATCAGCCTAAATTTCAACACTTCTTTGCCTCAGATAATATCAGAGGGCTTCTTCACACTGTATATCATACCTGCTTCCCAAATGTCCCTCTGAGCTGAAAAAAATTCATAGCACTCGAGTTAAAGCCAAAAATGGGTTTAGACTTGGCTACATATTGCTTGCTAACTCAGTAACAGGGAAGTGAAAGCAATGAATTCTGAAGTCTCACAGGAAGTTAAGTAAAACCAGAGGAGACTTTTGCTCTCTCAGCACCTAAGACTGTAGCTCTGCCTATCTTGTGCTCTGGCTAAACAACTGTACATCATTTCAAGATCTGGACTCATTAAAGAAATTTAACTATGGATCTCACAGCATAGGACCAAGACTGACCACACTCATTTCAACTATACAATACTGCATTTCCTATATCCACTTTGGACTTGCAAGTATCAGTGCAGAAAAAGAAGGAAGAAAAGGATTAATTACTTCAAGACTGTGTTATGATAGGAAGACAGTTTCTAAGCTACTTTGCCCACACTAGGGGAAAAAAGCCCCTAACCTGGTCAAACTGCAGGTAATCAAGACTATGATTATTTTAGAATAGAACGAGTAGTTCAGTTGTAAGTGACCTACAATGACCATCTAATCCACCTGCCTGACCACTTCATGTTATTAAGGGCATTGTCCCAGTGTCTCTTAAACACTGACAGGCTTGGGGCAACAATCACCTCTCTAAAAAGTCTGTTTGACAACCCTCTCAGCAAACAAATGCTTCCTGATGTCCAGTCTAAACTTCCCCTGGTGCAGCTTTGAATCATTCCCACATGTCCTGTCACTGAATACTAGGGAGAAGAGTTCAGCACCTCCCTCTCCCCTTTTCCCATCCTCAGGAAGCTGTAGAGACCACTGACTCCTTTAGAGACCGTTATCACCTCTAATTCTGTCAGGTAAACTGAAAGGTCAAATGCTGGATTAGCTTCCATTTATTCCTCTGTAAACTCAGAAAAATTTCTTTGCTCTACCAAATGATTAATGTTTCCTATAGTACTGACTGATGTAACACAGTAGCCACTGACTGGGATTCGTATGTTGAAAATATGCTCCAATCAATTTCACATGAAAGAAACACCATACAAAAAAAAGATTTCTTAAAATACTGGAAGTACGTATTTATCTCAGCATGCTCTCCTGTTGATCACTCATTTTATCCAAGTGAAGAAGAAAAAATAAGTACCTCAACACTTCCTAAGTGGTACCAGTCAGTATTTTCTCAGAACAGACATGCAGCAAGGGAAGATGTATTTGTGTCAAAATATAGCAGATAAACTACAGCTGCTAGAGCACTCTATGTAAGAACGACAGTGAGTGCCAAATGAAGACTGAAAGGAGGATTACCACAGGCCAACACAAACCCATCACACACCTGATCTTTGCAAATTCCACCGCCTCTCTACTTGCCTCCTAAAAGAATGAAAACTCCTTGTCTTGATTTATACAGCCCTCAAAGGTGACCTGAAAAGGAAAAAAATTGCATTTGACCCTTTTTGCTTCGCTTTCTTTGCTAGTTTAAAATGCATGAAGGACATCTTGAATAGACAGTTCTCCCTTATGCTTATTTATATATTTAACTATCAGTAAGAGAAAGCCCATTTTTACTGGAAGCTTTATTTGCTCTCTGAGAAATATTGCTTAAATGCTTTCTCATGCCATACCTGGAGGTACAAGAAGGAGAGCCATGCTCAATGCTCAAGTTCCAAAAAGAAGGTGTGCTAAACAAAAGTTGGAACCTTTAAAACCAAAAGTCAATTATCCCTTCAACTGTTTTCTTGCTTTCTGGTTTCCTAGGCACCTGACTCCTACCAAGCTCTTTGCCATTACCCACACGATCTTCTAAAGTAAAGAAGTTAAAAATGTATGTATCATATAGGAGGAAGGAATCAACAAAAAACAAGTCAATAAAAACCCTACCCACCAAACCACAGTCTGGAAACTTCTCTACACTTACAGAGTTAAACAAGAGTAAAGGAGCAAAAGCCCTTTCCTCTTTTTTTCTGCAGGTGACCTTTTTAATATTATTATAGTAGTAACAGAAAACCAAATGAACCCAAAAGTTCACAACTGAAAACAACAAAAATATTGTTCTCTACACTCAATCTAATTTTCCCTGATCCCTCCTAGAAAGTTATGCTTCTCTTGAAAATGAAGGTTCACCTGACTGGTGACTTCAGCTGCCTACGGAAAGGTTGTAGAGAAGACCAAGATCAATGCTTCTCTGAGGTATTCCATGGCAGAAAGATGAGTGGCACCAGACCCAGGAAAAGTCACAGCTAGACAAAAAGACTGTCACTATGAGGCTTCTCAGACAAAGCACAAGTGCCCAAAAGGACTGTGGAGCCACCGTCCTTGAGGGTATCAAATATGATTAAACAAAGCCCAGAGATATCAGATACAGCTGAAGCTGCTATGAGAAGGAGCTTGGACATAGACACCTCCTTCAACTGACAAGACTTGCAGGCATTTTTCAGGATGCTGCTCTGCAATCTCATCTACTTGACTTGAAGATAAAAAAAAAAGGGAATGCACTTCCTACTCAGGTAGCATTCATATCACAAGACCAAGCCGGGGTTACTGAGGTGAGCAGTTTGTGTTTGGACTCAGATGAGACCAACTTTTCATAAAATACTGGCAGGATCTTTCTACAAGAGTTTCAAGTTCAGTGGGTCAATCTTGTTTTAAACCCTCTTTGGATACTTCTGTCAGCATCTTGTTGAATGGAGCCCAGGCACAGTGGTACAGTACCACATCAACAACATTGGACGCGTGA